ATTTAATCCAATTTCGATGATTGGTGATAATTCAATTCGGTTAACCCTCTCGTTCCCTTTGCTAAGTCTTTACGTAATTTAGAATTATACGAAGTAAAATGTTTATCCCGAAAAGTTAATCATTAATAGAATATATTAAATAGATAAATTTTATTCCACTCGATAAACTATTACACAGTTTCTAATTCGCTTGTTTGCCGTGTAAATTGCCGGGCAGAAAAAAAAAATTGCATAGTAAATGTCTAAATGGCTGTTAAATAATTCAGACGACGGGGAATGACAGGGTTAAAAAGAAGAAGATGAAGAAAAAGAAAAGTAATAATCGTACGATGAATACGAGCTGAGAGATCGGCAATAATTTAATTAACTTATCCGCGCCAGTTTTGCAATAATTTAGCGATAAGTGTTATTTCAAATGGGACATTTGACCACGTGTATCGAGTAATTTACTCGCAACGGATATTAAAAAAAAAAAAAATAGGAGGAGAAGAGAAAATAAACGATGGATGAGAAACTCGAGAGAAGACAATTCGAGGAACACTCGTCGCGAGTATGCGTTATATTTCGTTTGTAAAGAGGATAAGAGAATTAAACGCGGAAATAAAATTAAGCAGAAGGATGGATTTAGATAGAGAGAAAGAAAGAGAGAGAGAGAGTGAGAGTGAGAGATGAAATCCTATCCGCGGTAGATGAATTTACTCGCGTTTTTTCCCAGATTATGCAATTTAAGATTGTTCTGTATATATATATATATANGAGAAAGAAAAAGAGTGAAAGAGAGAAAGAAAGAATGAAGTATGAGAGATGATGTAGTGAGAAAGAACGTGTGAGAGAGAAGATAAGATTTTTGTACCACCCCCTAAATCAATTCCTGCTCTTCACCGAGCACCCTCCGAGATTAAAATAAAATTACACGAGTGTCTTTATTCTTATCCCCCCATCCCCCCACCGTCGAGAAACAAATTTAATGGAATGGAACAAAACGAAGAGAAAATATTTGAAAAAATGAAAAAAAAAAAAAAAATAAACAAAAAAGACAGGAGAATTACGAAGAATGAGAGCATTCGCTTGAAAGAAGATATCGCCTCGAATTTTTTACAGCGTAGCTCAATAAAAATGTTCGCATTCAACAAATTGTATCGTCTATTTTATTTTTTTCATAATCATCGAACCAAATTTTCGTTTTATTTAGTTTAATTTTATAAAAATCTTTCGTGATATCTATTATATTTTAAACAATTTATGTTTAATAATTTCGATAAATAATTTTTTATTTTTCTTCAGAATTTTTCAGAGTTTATAACGTTGAAAATATTTCGTGTAAATATAAAAAGATACTACGGAGGATTAATAGAAATTTATCATCAATTATTATTCAATTTCCTTTATCGTGATGAATAATTTTCAAACCATATCAATAATTCGAATAGAAGTTAACAAATAAATAACATATTAATTTTTATGATGAAGAAAAATAGAGTAAAATCGAATAAATATTCTAAATTCGATTAAGAAAGAAAATTGGGATAATTCTCCGTAAGGGTGATACGGTGGTGGGAACAGGAAATGGTGGGGGTGGCAATGGTCCCATTGGCGAGGAATTCGCATTGTGTGTCTATATAAGTTTTCGTACATTACGTAAAAATACGTTTGTTATATATTTTCACTATGCTGACACGTACTTGTGTGCCTCACTACCCACCTGCCACGTATTATCCTACGATTTTACCTCATTCTCGCTGCACCAGGGGTGAAGGAAGCCGCCCCAAGAAAGAGTTCTTCGCGAAGGCGAAACGATATCGAAAAAATATCGAAAAGAAAAGAAACAAAGTTGAAGGGAAAAATGTCGAAAAAGAGATGCTGAAAGAAACGTTATATATATTCGCTGTTAAATATTATAAATCGAGGAGATGACGAGATTAAAAATGGACGAACTCTTATACATATATATATATATAGTTATATATATATGTATATACATATATATATAAGTATACATATAATATTATTTTATCGGTTTCGAGAGGGTGAAATAACTGAGTGTGAAGGGAAAAAAAAAAATTTGTATCTTCTTTTCCCACCTAGTTGCTTACATTTGTATACAGCTAGAATATATTAAAAGATTACGTGAGTAGTTTTTTAAAATGATCCAAAGAGTTTTCCTTCCTTACACTGTCTTTTCATAGTTTACTTTTATCGTTTTTCTCTCTTTTTTTTTTTTTCTATCTTTGTTTCGATCCATTTTAAAATATAACTTTA